GATATAAAATCTAACAATTTGTTTTCATAAAAAGAGTTATTAGGTATGATTTTTTAAAAAGTGAACTTTAAGACTAGGAAGCCTGAAACAAGGTAGAAGTCTTACAATAAATAGATTTTTTTACTCTTAAGATTAAGAATTTTCTATTTAAATAAGTTGTACACAAGTGACCATACATTTTAAAATATCTTTATTCAATTTATAAGCAAACCCTTAAACAGAATTAGAGGCAAGAAGAACAGATGCTTAAAATCACAAAAGTAAATTTTCAACTATTGACAAATACTACCTGTTCATTAACTTATTAAAATTAATCCCTTTTAATGCTAGGTATATATAAAAAAATTAAATCTGTGTATCAGTGAGTCATCTGCATTCCCACATTTACAGTTGTACCATTTACAATAGTCAAGAAATGCCAACAACTCAAGTGTCTGTCAACTGAAGATAAAGAAAATATGGAACATATACACAGTAGAATTCTATTTGGCCATAAAAAGTGAAATCCTCTTATTTGTGAAACACGGATGGAACTGGAGGATGTCATTTCAAGTGACATTAGCCAGGCACAGAAAGACAAATACCATCTGATCTTACTCATATGTGGAATCTAGCCCGGCGTGGTGGCACACGCCTATAATCGTACCACTTGGGAGGCTGAGGCAGGAGGATCACTGTGAGTTCGAGACCAGCCTGGGCTCCAGAGTGAGTTCCAGGTCAGTCTCAACTACATAGTGAGACCCTGTCTCAAAAAACCAAACCAAACCAAACAAAACAAAACTCATATGTGGAGTCTAAAAAAGTTGTTCTTGTGACAAACAGCAGAGGAATGAGACCACCAGAAAAAGGATAGTGGAAGGCAATGAAGCACAGATTTTATTCACCTGGTGCAGGTCAACAAGAGGCCATCAATGATGATCAAAAAAAAAAAAAAAAAAAAAAAAAAAAAAAACAACAAAGAATAAAAAAAAAAAAAAAAAAAAAAGAAGAAGAAGAAGCAAGGAGCTTTATAGGGGACTGGGGAAAGGGTCGGGAATGTCTGGCATGTACAGGAGTTGGAGCGTGGTCACAGTCCATGCAGCAGTCAAGGCAGATGTATGGATACTATCAGGTGACTTGTAGCAAGGAAGATGTCCCGCTGCACTCTGTAAACCTATCTCTCTTCTGTAACATCCCGGTCTGTGTTCTGTCTGCTCAGAGATGCAGCACAACCTGCATCTGGGCGGACAGCACAGCCTACTTCGGATCTTTAGTTACCTTAAGAAGCGGCATGTTTTTGCTGAGGGCTGCCTTTGTATCTGCTAAGACTCAGCTTGGAATTAGGCAATGCATCCATTAACCAGGTCATGGACAGACCAAGCCTAGCAGTTCTTGTGGAAGGTCAGAGTAGAATGGTGGTCACCAGAGGCTGGGGACAGCAGAGGAGGGGAGGAAGGGGGAAAGGTTGATTAATGGGTACTGAGATGCAGTTAGGAGTAAGAAGTTCTGGTGTACTATTACCAACGAGGTGACTGTAGACAACAGTAAAGTGCCATGTATTTCAAAAATGCCAGAAGAAAAGAATTTGCAAGTTGTTATCATAAAGCAATGTTTGATAAGACACATGTTTAGCCTGTTAGACATTACACATATACATTGTATGGTACCCTACTAACGTACTATTTCTGTGCTTTTATTTATCAGTTAAAAATTAGTAAATAAAACATATCCAAAATCAAAAACCCTCTTTTAGAGCTTTGTCAATTCAAAATTTTTAGTGTCTGGGAAGCATTTTTTTTTTCTGTTCACATATATGTTTGTAAAATTTATAGTGAATAAATACAATCTCTCAAATTCTATGTCGTTTTCCATAGCATTTCTAGTGATTTTTGAAGTATTTAAAACATTTCTCAAAAGAAATTTTAGCAAATGGAAAATCAGAATTGAGAAAGAGGGAAAAGATTTTCTCAATGATTCCTGAAACCTACCTCCTAAATTTTCTAATCTCAAATGTACCAAAGTTTGGCTCAAATGAGGAAAAATGAGGCCTACTAAAGAAAATAAATATTCTCAGTAGGCAGCATGATGTTTGAAAAGTTCAAAGATATGATAATGTGGAGAGAACAAAGATTACTTTTGCCTTTTTTGCCCAGATTTTCCTCTCGACTGGTTTCCAGGGAATATGTTTTCATTGTTTGGTCTGAAACATGTATATTGAAGTACTTCAAAATCATAAGAGCTATCGCCATAACTAGTACATCTGTAATTATATTCAGTCACACATTATTAGTGAGGGAAACAGACTTTTCCAAAGTGTCTTTTAAAGTTTCACAGAATAATGTTGTGGAATTATAATTCTGCAAAAATGTCTGGAGCCTTTGTCACTAAAAGTAGGATAAGAACAAATACAATTCTGTCATTTCCTCCATTCACTTCTGCAGATTCTGGCTTGGCCAACATAGTCTCGACCCTTCTCTGCTCTCTGAAGATCTAGACTGGGCTTTTGGGCTCCGCAAAAAATTAGGGGAAGAGAGCAGAAGGTGCAAAAGAAGGGTATCAGGGGGCAGGGGTAGGAGATTTCAGAAATGTGTTGAAGAAGATGCAAGAATAGCTGCCATATGACAGAATTGTATGGAAAATGGGGGAAAGTTTATTGAAAGAGATTCGCTTGCACTCTTTTCTTGGTTCTTGAAATAGAGAAGCAAAATAATTATTTCTAAATTACTTTTTTTTTTTTTGGCCCTGACTCCTCTGTAGGATGGGCCACTGTCTTCTACAAACATACTTGCAGCTGTTACTAACAAAAATCAGTTCAGTCCTACATTCTCCATGTCAGCACCAGGGTTACCAGTTTCTCTAACAATGATGGGTGCAGTTGAGAGATACAGAACCTGAGTGGTCAGACAAGGGAGCTGGGCATGTAAGAACTACAGACTTTTGAGAGTTTTAATTACACACTGAGTTTTAATTTCTGTCCTGGCTTGTCCTTTAGGAATGATAAAGTCTAATTTTCACATTGATATACTATAGACGAATAAGTTAAAGAAAATGCTATCTCATGAAATATTTTATCTCCTAGTTGGGTTAGTCTGACTAGAGGAAGTTTCAAACTCCTTGAGCTTGTTCTTTTCTTTCTTTTAGTCTGTTGTTTTATTTCTAGACTGGTTCTTCAAACTAGCCTAACCAGAAGTGTAGAACAGTAGTGCTTTTCATGCCCAACCCTCAGAGACATTAATTTGCCAACGTCCAGAGATATTTGTAGATGTTGTGATTTGGGAGTGGGTGGTGCTACCAGCATCTACATGGAGAAGCCTGGAGTACTGCAAAATATTATGCAGGCACAGAAGCCTCCCACCAGGGATGATTGAACCCTCAGACTCAATAGTATCAAGATTGAGAAACCTTGGTCTCCTCGCCTCTGAGATTCCCTAGTCACAGCCTCTTTGTTTCCACCTCCCTGTTGCATTCCAGAGCCAGTCTGTTGCCTTCATTGTAACCAATTTTTCAACCTTTTATGTCCTTTCGATCCATGGACCATTCTTCCTGGCATCTTTGCTCATCGGCAATCCTTGCTCATAGTTCAGTTGGAGGGAAACTGAGTGTGGTGCCCAGGATAGGACAATATTGTAATTGACCATGTGGGCTTTGGGTACAGATTGGCTGAATTCAAACCTAGCTCCGCCATTTATTATTTGTATAACCTTGGCCAAGTTTCTTATTCTCTGTATGCTTCAGTGTTCCCACCTGAAAAAATTTGGCTCTAAATGGTATCCTGAAGGAAAGTTCTTGTAAAAGTTAAATGAGTTAGTATTTGTGAAGCACTGGGGGTGTTGCCTGATACCTAAGTGCTTTAAACATTACCTATTATTGTTCTTTCTCAGTAGCCCACCAAGGCGTGCATTCTCCAGCTCCCTTCTCCTCTCTACCTTAAATCTGGGGAACAGGTATATTTTAGTCAAAATGGTTTATCTTAAATGTTGACCAGAGTTTTAAAATATGGCATGGGTTTTGGCTCTCTAGATGCCCTCCTTGAGGCAAAAAGTGCTAAGGAAGGTGCAAGAGGACAAAGGAGAAAAGGACATATATTTCAAGACATTTTTCTGGATGACACACAAGTCTCCTTCCATAGATTGGAGACTGATAAGTGAATGGAGGAGGGGTGGATGCATCATGTGTGTGTGTGTGTGTGTGTGTGTGTGTGTGCGTGGGTATGGATTTAATCTCAGGGAACAAATTATAGCTGAAGATATAGATTTATTACCTTTTGGAAAATAAGTGGTAATTGAGTCAGTGTCAGGATAAAATATTATATAGAAGATTGGAGACATAGGTGAATGGAGGAGGGGTGGATGCATCATGTGTGTGTGTGTGTGTGTGTGTGTGTGTGCGTGGGTATGGATTTAATCTCAGGGAACAAATTATAGCTGAAGATATAGATTTATTACCTTTTGGAAAATAAGTGGTAATTGAGTCAGTGTCAGGATAAAATATTATATAGAAAGGAATAGTTAAATCAGAAAAGCAGTTTCTGGATGGATGGATGGAAGGACAGACAGACACCAAAGTTTCATATTAAGGAAGTAAGTTCTTGTTTTCAGGGCTGGTGAGAGTGTGTTATCTATAGCTGAAGATATAGATTTATTACCTTTTGGAAAATAAGTGGTAATTGAGTCAGTGTCAGGATAAAATATTATATAGAAAGGAATAGTTAAATCAGAAAAGCAGTTTCTGGATGGATGGATGGAAGGACAGACAGACACCAAAGTTTCATATTAAGGAAGTAAGTTCTTGTTTTCAGGGCTGGTGAGAGTGTGTTATCTGTGGTGGGGCTAGAAAACATCCATTGGTTGTACTAAGGGAAGTGCTTAAAGGCCAAGCCACGATACTTAAAATGTTAGTGACACACGTAGTTTGATTTTCCCATTTTGGTACTTCAAACTTATGTGTTATGAAGTACATAAACCTGTTCCCCAAGTTAGGCTAGTTTTCTTGAATGTTGTATCCCATACAAATATTTTAAGATAGACTCTTGTACTATTGTAATGATCCTATCTCTTTTAATCTTTCAGATCATAAGGCCTATTATGGATTATCTGCCCCCAAACGTCATCAAGTGGTCACAGCAATAGAGTACCAAGGTATAGTGTCTTACCAATTTTATGGGCCGCATTGTTTAAATACCTCATGAGAATGACAAAAGTGAAACTATATTTCTGTTTGTTAGGGTCTTCTGCCTCACCCCACACTAATTATTTTGCCTGAAATGCTCTATGTTGATTCCATCTTGACAACTGTTTCTTCATATCAGTGGATATTTTGGACAATCAATAAAAGGCTAGATATACATAGGTCTTCTCTTATGTAAAGTATCTCCCGTGAAGAAAATTTTTGAAACAGGGAGATAGAGATCTTTAAAAGTTTCTCATTAGTTAAAGATGGTAAGTGAAGGGGCTGGGGATTTAGCTCAGTGGTTCCTGCACTTGCTTTGCAAGTGCAAGGACCTGAGTTCGATCCCTGGTACAAAAAAAAAAAAAAAAATGGTAAATGAAAATAATACCTTGATCCCACTGTAAGCATTTGAGGTGACGTTAATGTATCCTAATTTGAGCTGGCAGTTGTAGCACCTTAAAAATATTTTTAGGAGAGTTTGTTAATGGGTATAAAGTTTAAGTTTTGTAAGCTGAAACAATTCTGGAAATTGCTAAATGCGCAACATTGTGAATATACTTAGTGTTCTTTAAAAATGATTAAGATGATAAATTTTAGTTAAATGTATTTTGCCACAGTTAATGGAAGTTATTGGGCACAGTGGTACACTCCTGTAATCTCAGCACTCAGGAGGCTGAGGCAGGAGGATTGCCACAGTTTGAGGCTAGCTTGGGCTGCACAGTGAGTTCAAGGTCAGTTTGAACTATTCAGCAAGACCCTGTCTCATAAAACAGAAATGACCAAAAAAAAATATTGAAGGGAACTAATGAACAAAAAAGTACTGTGTAAAGTCTTTTGTGAGTTTACTTCAAATATTGACACCCTTTCCAAAAGATGTTTTACTCAAAATACAATGAATAATACATAGCAACCAGGATAACTGTCATCTTTACATTTAACACTTATTTCGGCTAGAGACTGTAAACTTAATAACCAGATTCCATGACTGGAATGTCTCAGTTCTCATCTTCAAATATGTTTTCAGTTCCCAAATTTAGGCTAATAGGTTAGAAAGAAAGAGACAAAGATTAAAGAAGACTGATGTAGGGAATTAAGTAATATTTGTATAGTTCTTACTTTCTTTTTTGTTTTTTTGTTTTTTGAGTCAGGGTCTCACTGTGTAGTTGAGACTGACCTGGAACTCACTATGTAGCCCATGCTGGTCTCGAACTCACAGCAGCGGTCCTCCTGCCTCAGCCTCCCAAGTGCTGGGATTACAGGCAAGCACCACCATGCCTGGCTAGTTCTTACAAATTGTTCCTAGTACACAGTAAGTGCTATGTGCATTCCTGAAGTAAAACTGTGCTAAAATAAGAATAAATCCATCACTTAAACATGACAAATCACTTCATAATAAATCATGTAAATAATTATTTAGGTTCACTAGGTCCTTTGAAGTTCTGATAGTTTATATGATTTAACTCATGAGACACATTTTATTGTGGGTTAGCTTTAATTGGGAGAGGTGGGAAGAGGAGATTAACATTTGGGAGTAATTTGGACTATGAAGTGTTTAACGGGAGGATAAACAGGGCCGGGCCAGATGCCAGAAAGGAGCCTGGAAAGGCTGAAAGAACAGCACAGTAGGAGAGGAAAATGGAGCAGAATGTCCCTGAGAGACAAAGGAAGTGCAGGGTTTTCCTACTTCTCACTGGAGGTTCTGCAGCTGGGCCAGGCTTGGGTGTACATCCCTCTGCATGGTCATGTCTGAATTAGGATATCAAAATTATCACATGCTTTAGTCTTACCCTACTTTAAAAACATATACGAGGTACAATTCATATTATATAAAATCTATCATTTTAAAATGAACGATTTAGTGGCATTTAGTATACTCACCATATTATGCAACAAGCACCTCTCCCTAGATCCAGAGCATTTCTACCACTCTGAAATGAAACCTGTACCCAGTTACATTACTTTTTTTTTTTTTTTGGTACCGGGTCCTTGCGCTTGCGAGGCAGGCCCCCGAACTGCTGAGCTAAATCCCCGGCCCTTTTCTTTTTTTTTTTTCCAGTTACATTACTTTTTAACATGTTTTATTTTTAATGTAGAAAGTCCTCTGTAATTTATAGCAATCAAATGTTAGTTTCAGGGCTGGGGATATAGCTCAGTACTAGCGGGTATGTGCTTAGCAGGTTCAAGGACTTGGGTTTACTCCCCCTATGCTGGCCCCCCAGATAAGTGTTTGGTAATTGTTGTTTAATCTCAGTGATTTTTAATTGATAATTTCACTTTAATTCCAATTTATTTGTGCCAGGTTATTCCAACTTGACTCTCCATAAAGCAAAAATAAATTTCTACCTTCTTTCATATTTTACTTTTATAATATTTTACACAGTAATTTAATTCTATTAAAGTTTATAATGTTTTGTGATTTGCATATGTACATATGTGCATCCTAATAATTTCATTCAGTTGTTAGTCTCTTGTTTCTCCAATGTCAAAAATGTGTGAATTGATTCCTTTTTTCAGTGCTGCTGGTCTGTGCCACTTCCCAGAGTGGTGCCAAAAGCCATCAGGACAGCTCTGCCGGGCTTGTAAAGGACATGAACGGCCCGGTGCAGTGTGTCCAACCCTGAAAGCTGTTCATCAGAGTTTACTTAATAGCAAGAATTTTTTCTCAGAAGTAATTTCTGCTAATTCTTCAGAACTGCTTTGTTGGGATCAATTCTTTTCCTATTATGGAGGATTTTTAACTTGCACTCAGAGAATAAAATCAAAAGATAGCAGTACAGCATCCTAGAGAGATTAAAATTCATAATGATCTCTTATTCCTACAAGTGATTATTTCACTACATGTTCCTGCTTATGCTTTTTCTAAATGATTATCTTCTCAATCTAAATGAAACAGATGTTTTTGCAATGAATTTATCACCTGAATAGAAGAAACTTGGCACATTTTCTGTTTTAATGTGCCTGGGTTGAGAACATAATGAACTGTGTTGACATTTTCTTCGGTGTTTAAAACAGAGGTAACATTTTAGTTCAAATTTGAGATTTATAGGTAAATTTATGGTTGTGTAAAGTACACGTTTCTATTAAACTTGCAGCCAAAGAGAAGCTCCCCATGGGTGAAAATAATAATAACCATTTCTGAAACACATGCTGTGTGCAAGGTAACATGCACCAAGTATGCATCATCTCATTTAACCTTTATAACAACTGAGTAGGATGAGTACTGTTATTTTACCATTTTAAAAATTTGGATGTAGTGCTTTTAAAAAAAAAAATTTATGCCTGCCTTGCAAGGGCAAGGACCCGAGTTTGATCCCCGGTACCAAAAAAAAAAAAAAAAAAAAAAAAAAAAAAA